ACATTACCTATTCAAACAAAAGTGACAGACCAGAGCACTGCTCCGCTGAGCTGGTGCACCACACCACAGGCCAACAGAGTGCAGACACACACACACACTTTCACACACACACACACACACGCACATATATACAGGAAGCACTCCCCTTGACATACAGTACTGGATGTAAGCATAAACACAACTATCAAGTAATGACCCTTTGATCAAACAGACAGCTTAAAAGAATTTGTTAAACTATTTTAACAACAGTGAAAAAAAAACTTTGCAGAAGGTGGAAATAAGGCATACAGAGGAGATGCAGATTCTTGGCTAATCGTTACTTAACCTGTGTATGCTAACGCCAAGAGGGTCCCAGCTTTATATTGTCCAGCTGATGCTGCAACGAAAGGCGGCGTTGAGCTATGTGTGAAGAATGCCTCAAAATCTGCAACCAAGGCAACTGGGTTTCCAGCCCTCATTGCATATGCATAGAGTCAGAGGCTCATGCTCAGATCATTATAACAAAGATTCCTATTAATTAGGTGGGATAAAGCAGAACCAGATGACATGGCAGCTGGGATGAGACGAGAGGGGAGAAGGGCGGGAACTAAAAGAGGAGGGGAGAAAGTGCAGCAGTCAGTTTTTTTGGGGGAGGTGTATTTTTGCCAGGAGGTGTATATATATATATACACGAAAGAAGGAAAACCTTTAAAAATTCTTTTAATGCTGCATTTAAAGAAAATGGGAATCAAAAAATGAGTCTGTTAATGCTGTCAAGCATCTGCAGCCAATTGCCGTTGAGTCTCCATGTAGAGTCAGAAGAGGTTGTGACACTGACAGGGGAAAGTGTTACAACAGAGTCAAGAGTTCATCAGTGCTAATCAGACCACAGGCTTAGAGCTGATCCTATTCTCTTCCAAAGCTTTCACCCATCCCTGAATCTCATTACACGCCATGTTGTAATAGAGGATAATGACCTGGGGCTACTCACACAATGCTGATCGCTCCCCCCACACTCAACCTACTGCACAGTCATTATACAGTGATAATACACAATCTCGCCAGGGGGATTACACTTACAAATAGAGAAGAGGTGATAAAGGCAGAAGGTGAGGAAGACACGTCTATGTAGTGGCACTGAGCCACACACCATTTGCACATATGACCAAACACAATCCTTCCAGCGGCACACCCCACTGTGCTGCTCTATGTCACCGGCAAAGGTTCGGTAGGGGGAACTCTTTTCTTAGTAGAAGGATATTTAATTCCTTTCACCTCAGGATAAAAAGCAGTTGCAGTTTGGCTGGTGGTACGGCTTCCCTTTGCTGAACTAATTAGCCATGACTTTGTCAAAGGACTCCAGGTGTTGGCTGTTCTGCTAGTGCACCTAGTGTATCCACTCTTACTGTTCTTCAAAGGCTGCAGTCTTAGAATATCTGTCCATCTCAGTGTCTTGACACTTGTGTTATTGTTATGTTTTAGATAAAAGCTGCAGATTACACGTGAAACTATCCACTATCAAATATTCTCAGGTCACCCCTTTTTCCCAGTACGGTTTACTGAATAGAAGTCTAAGAACCGAGCCGAGCGTATTGTGACGCTGAACACTATGGCTTTTGTAGTCAGCAGTGGTAAAAACAGAGTAAAGCTCAAAGGTTGGTTTTTTTTAGATAGGTGCTTTTACTGAAGTTTTAAAAATAAAATATATAGAATATTGATTTTTCTTTCAGCTTTCATTTAAAATAAAATATAATAAAAAACAATATTTCTTAACTGCCCTAATACATGGAAATAAGCTGCTTGTGTTTTAATATTAGTCTTGGATGGACTGGCAAGGTTTCAACAAGTAGATAGTGAGCCTGGAAAATCCCTAAAAGGTAAAACGGGATGCTGAAACCCAATTACCCGTCCTTGTCTTGGGGACGATCATAAAGACTGTACACACAAGAGTTTCTGTGTTGACTTGCGCAGTATTGATTCATACTTTAGTGCATTATATAAAACTGCTCTAATTGCATGTGAATCAAATCAAGGTCACCTTGGGTTTTTATAATCAAGGCTATTTTTCTTTTTACCCTAATACTTTATACTGACATTTTTAACTCTTGACAAGTGCTGTCTGGAGACTTATCCATAAATAATGCATTTACAATACCTAGTAAATAAACATGGGGCACAATCGTTAGCCCTGCTGGCAACTGGGCCTGATAGAGCTTTTACAGCAAAGGTGACTATTCAGCTAAATGCAGTGCTCGCTGCTGGGAGGACATTTTCATTCATTAGCACAGTCACAAGCACTTAAAGCACTTTAAGGACCAGAAATGGAGAGTAAAGGTGGAAGGATAGAGAGGGTGAAAGGGTACAAATATACAGAGATGAAGGGATGAAGGAATAATAGCTAATACTCAACAGTGACTCTTTTTTTTATTATTTGTATGTTTGAAAACAAAGAAATTATTTTCATGCATAGAGTGGATGAAGTCAAAAAATTACCATCTGTTATTTTAGGGGCTGTCTGTATACCTTCATTTCTACCCCAATAATTCATGTACTGTATTTTTAGGTTTTGTTAAGGCTTTGACAAAGCTGCCGCTGACAGCCAGCTGTCGTTTGTGGTTCTTGCAGTACAGAAAAAATACCTCTTAAAAACCCAATAGCCAGGAAACCAGAAACAGCTATTGAAGACTGTCAACAATAAATGGCAAAGAAGCTTTTCAGAGCAAAGTTTTAGAAAATATAGGTTTTATTTTCCATCTATGAGCAATGTAGTGTGAGAAGTGTATCGCAGATCATTTGCTGTCCCTCTACAATTGATGTTACTAGAGTTATCTTCAGTCCATCAAGACAATGAGCCATCTTGACTAGACAAGGAAGGCCAGAGAAGAATGGTACCAGATGGTGAGGAGTCTCTGAGGACCTCAGTGACCCCGGCCAGGCAGACATCAAAGCAGCAGAATTAGACACAACAGTTGTCATGTGTAGATAAGCTACATATTTAGCTCATCTGTTGCTTGTGGTATATTAGTAACATCATTAAGACAACAAATGGCATTCTTGCATTTTCTCTACTACATTAATCCTGCCCTTTTCATTTCCAACTGTGTCTCTGACCAGAAACAAAGACATACGATTAAGATCTCTCAAAGGTTTCTCTGAGATTTTCCTTGGGCAGTTTCTCAGAGTCCCTCTCCCCCATTTTACAGTAATCACATATCATCACCACTGAGGCTTCCTCAAGTGCTCTCCAGGAAAAAAGTCTCCCACAATTCTTGCAGCTTGGGGACAGCACACCGAAACTCTTGTATTCTGCGTGTCTCCAGCTCAGAAACTAATTTCTACCAACAAGGGAGTTTATTTTGGTTTTGAGGATACACAACACATGAGGCGGACCAAGTCACTATTATTAACAGGAGATTAAAACAGCTGTATGGTACTCTAAAGCACCCTCTCCTCCCTGCGCCAACATAAGGCACTGGATTACAAGCTGCACTTGACCATTTAAATTACTGCAACAACCAGCCTTCACCAGCTGGGGCTCATTACCATAATGCCCGCCATCGCTACCAAGAGCACCTACGGTCTTGCCCTGAAAATCAAGTCCACGAGAAGCAGGACATATGAATTTTTTTATACCTTAGGATAAAACTCAGCAGTAATAGCAATACCAACTTTGTCCTAACCAGAAGCTGTCCTGCTCGGGGAACTCCTTTATGTCTCGCCATATCTGTAGATCAGTAGCAGCAAGGATACCGGATATCCCTAAAATTATGTCTGCATTAGAGCATTTAGTAAAAATGGCCCAAAAACATGGGCGAGACAACACAGTATATTTACTGTCTGAACTGAGATATTTATTAAGAGCTTCTTTTTTTTCAGTGTGTTGGTAAATTGCCAATACGAGTGGCCATTAAATCATAATAAAAAACAATTATTAAACTAATAAACCTACCCAGGTCTAATTTGTAATATAGATTTTTTGTATTCAGTGAAATATGGACCGACTTCTAATATCTAATGACAACACAAATAATCAGTCTCATATCAGGATGTGGCTAAACGATTAAGTGATGAGAGGCCTGTGACGCTCTGATACAAAGATCGCCGAACGAACACTTAAAAAAGAAGTGGCAAATTATTTTTAGGCTAACAGAGGTCTAATTTATTCGTCTGATGAAGTGCTTAAGCTAAGAGCTCCCCAGACACTAAATGAGACACATGCATTCCCAAGGGGGTTTAACATTTGATTGGATGTAGTTATATTACTACAGCCCTAATTAAGAAGGGGGATGTGTTTCAGCAGCTCTTTCAAATATTTGTTTTTCCGCCATACTCTTGATAGACTGCAGGCTGTAGGAGGGAGAGCCAAGCAGGGTGAAATGGTAGCAGATATGATAGAGACCCAACAGTCTTATCGCAGAAAGGGATTTCTTTTTTCCCCCTCTATCTCTACTTTTAGGAAACAAAACAACAACAGCAACAACAAAAAAATCTTTCAGCTGTTCACGGTGCGCTGAATAAGATGAATTAATTATGCACACGAAACAGGTAAAATCCTTGAGAAGGGCTTGGGTTGTTTGTGGTTAGCAACCTTTGATGAATAACTGTGCATGGTGAGAAGTGTTCTTGTGTAGCAAAATAAAAAGGAGGTAATGTTCCTGGCATCAGGTCAGCACTATAAGTTTTATAGTCAAAGAGTTTTCCTTGGCGTGGACGAAGACCACACTTATGCTGAGGTGCACTGCCACACAGTCTTTGTCATGTTGGAAGAAGTTCAGAACAAACTGGAAATACTGTAACGTCAGTATTCCCAGCTTTGAGTGTGCCCGCATGAGTGTTTGAGACAGAGAGAGATACAGGAGAAAAGAGGCAGACGGTCAGCAAGCGTGAAAAACTATTAAAGAAACAGGAAAATGTGGAAAGATGGAGGACGCTTAAGGGGGAAGAAGGTAAAGTATTCCTGTGCCCATACATATACACACACACACACACTTGCACGGACACACACACATGAGGAGTCATACCGTCTTGCTCTGTCTTTGTCATCTCCTCTAGCTTCTTCTGCTTCAGAGTGTCCACTACGTCTGCCAGGCTTCCTTTGCGGCGCTCTGGAGTTCCAAACGCTGATCCGCTCAGCAGGTCACTTCGCTCCCGGGCCCCCTCCTCAGGCTTGTGTGGGGAAGTGGAATTGTTCCGGAAAGAGTACAGGGAGCATACTTTATTGCTGTCAGATTCCTGTAAGACAAACAGAAGTCGGGAGGGGAGGCAACAAGGGATGGGATTTGTATTAAGTGATGAGCGGGATTCTGTGTTCTGTCAGTGGCTCTATTCAGTGTTTTGACAGTTTTTCATTCAAATGCAGTGATTGCTAGGTTTTTGCAGCTCATGGGCGCTTTGGCCATATTAAATGGCTCTTCTCTGGCTTTTCAACACGGCAGCTTCTGCAGTCTCAACAGTGATAGCTGCTCTGATAAATGAAATATGACAAGTGAAAAATTGAGATGAAATGATGAGGTACACTTTCATGGGGGTATATCCATAATGTGCTCAGGCTTTACTTTTCATCTGTGGAGACTACACAGAGAAACCGCCCAGCTGTAATCTCTCAAATTGCTGTTGAGTGTGCATTTGTGTTAGGGTGACTGCTGTGTAATTTGTTCATTTTCTAGTGGAGAACTATTCTCAGCTGAGTGCCTCGAGCCGTCGTAAATCTGTGTCCTGTCTCAAGCTGTTGTTGTTTTTTCGTCCCACCTGTGTATGGTTTAGTATTTAACTAAGGGTCCTGTCTCTGGCTGACTGGCTGAGTGTTCCCGGTGCACAAACGGAGACATAAAGGCATGGGGGAGAAGAATGGGGGAGGGCTTCAGGGGAAGAGACAGAGAGAGTAAAAGAGAATACTCTGCACATGGGAGTGTATAGGCAGCGCACAGCCGAGTGGCTGAGGATTGCGTCTGACAGAAGGTGGTGTTAATTATGGTTTGTGCAGTCTGAGAAAGCAGAAGGTAGCTAAGCAGCCAGGAGTTGCAGCCTTTAACAGGGGAACAGTTACTGATTTAAACTTTCGCCTGCACAGAGAAGATCTGAATCCAAAATATACTGCAAGCCTGTCATACAAAAAACAAAAAAACAGGGAGCTTTAATCAGCACCAGTGTGATAAGAGTGTATTACAGCATGGTTAAATGATGCAACCACGTCTGGAGTCGCTGACAATCCCAAATAAAAAGTCGGGAATGCAGTAAACCAGGCAGGAGTGTTGACAGTGCCGAGTTCTCATCCCTGTGTGGCATGTTGAGCTCGAGGCAGAGTTTCAGTGGAGTGTAGGGTGGTCTGGTACCAAGTGCCAGGGTGGCACGACTGACCGGCCTACTCTGCACCTCCCAGCCCAGCGCTGGATCATTATGCAGCATGGCAGAGACAGTTGAGAGTGCTTGAGGGGAGTGGAGCAGTGCTGGGTTAATCAGCTGGCGTGGGTTCAGGGCACAGCCCACACAGAGCCATGGCACAGCAATAGAGTCAGGTAATCAGCAAAGGCAACACTCTAATTCCTTCCACCTTATGTCCTTTTCTTTTCTTCATCCACCTTCTTGCATTTGACCCTTTTTTCTTGTTTTTTCCCTTTTACTCTCCTTTTTAGTTCTTACTCCCACTTACTATTCAACCTATTATTCAGTTGAAATACCTTCCAAGCGTAGAAGACGGCATGGGCATAAAAAACGTCCACTCCTAACTGTACATTATACCAATTAGGACTGTCACAAAATCAAGGCAAGAGGAGGGAATAATATAGAAGTAATAAAACACTCAACCTTTAACATTTAAAATAGCTACTATCTAACTATTCATGATGTGATGTGCTTGAATCAAAGTCATATCGAAAGTTTTCAGACCTGCAGACTCTTTCTTTTTGTTACTTCAATGGCTGCTGGCCTTGTTTACATCAGTGAAAGATCAGTCTTATACTTTCTTTAAGAAAACATGGTGATTGATGGCGTCATATTTCTTCTTTAAAAAAAATAACTTTCTTGTATTTAAGTTTTTTTATCCTTAAGAGGTTACATAACTCAATGTTTTGTCTCTGACATTTTATTTAAGTTTGTGTGACACATAGTTTATTTATTTTATATATTAGTTATGTATGTTTGTGAAGTGTTTCTATATGCTTTTTTTTTTAGCTGTACATCATAAAATTCACTAAAATCCTGTTGCTGACACACTGTAATGTGCTACAGATGACAAGAACCTGAGAAATCCTATGGCTCTGTGTGTGTGTGTGTGTGTGTGTTGTGCTAAGGTGTTGAGGGTCTCAGTGGCAAACTGCAGAGCTACTTCAGAAGCCCTCTGGGTCTCTTTACCGCAGGCCCGTCTGTCACAGACAACCACCTGCCTCCTGTGTCTATAGCCCACAAGTGCCTATGCTCTTCCTCATTCTGCTCATATCAAAGCGGCGCTCCACTTAAAATGCGCAGCATCTGGGGGTCTTGCCGCAGATGTAGCTTACACAAAACAAGAGAAACAACACACGCACTGAGCACACAATTTTTTTTTTGCAGTAACGTAAATCCAAAGCACACCAAAGAAAGCAGATAAAGCTACATTCCTCTCCATCTGCTATTAAGTAATTTTATGTGGCGTTCACATTGCTCAGAGAAGAGTTAGAGATCCCCTCTTTAACCTAATAATAGTTCATGGTTTAATGTTTGGCACAGTTGCCTGTCTGAAAGGCTCCAGAATCCCTGAGGATTCAGAGCATTACAGAACCACGGGGCTGGAGCTGGTGATAGAATATCAGCTAAGCTTCTTTATACAAGCCAGGAACAATGAGTGGCTGCTCCGCTTGGATCGTGAATACCCCCGGGAGGACAGTAAGACATAAGTGCATACTAATAGGTTTGAAATTGTCCTGTATTACTATGCTTTATTTAAACAGAGCTTCGTCTTCTACGCCCCACAGTAGCTCACACTGTTTTTCATTCACTCCATAAGTATCACAGAGTCACTACAGAATAATAAAAAAGGTTTAGAGATCAACCAGTTCTGTATAACTTTAGCAGACTACATTGGTATTTGTCCTGCTAAATGGCTTGCTGTCATATTTTACTTTTTTTTTTAATTTTGTACTTGAAATCTTTGTTATTGCTGTCATTATGCTTTTTATACTGTGTGATGCTCTGTGTGAAACATTTGCTGTCCCCAGTGGCAGGTGAAAAAACAGCTCAAATCTGTGCGAATTTAAAACTCTTTTCATCTGCACAAAGATGCTTTGTGAAAATGTATGAGACTTTTGAAATGTTTGGCATTATTGGTTAACCAGCATGGGCTCTATTAGAGGTTTGTTTTGCAACTGCATATGAATGTCTCACCATGCGCTGCTGGGCTGACACCAGGCTGTCCCAATCGCTTTCTGATGGTACGCTGCTGAGCGGCTGCATTTCATCAGGGGCTTTTCCGTGAAGCAGACTGTGCAGCGGCAGCTGTGGTGTGCCATGGGCCTCTGCGCTCTCCTCTTTCTCCCAAGACAAATGCTCCTGACTCATGGCATCATCCCCATCAACCACAGAGGCAAAAGGAGACGTGGCTTGCTTGGAAGACATGACTCTGCTGTGGAGCAAAGAAACAAAATAGTTGGAAAAAAAAAGATTATGACTTATAGTTGTTGAAGAATTTCATGAATGAATATCAAGTTTGGGGGGGGGGGGGGTCGTAGCTGCCACTGGGATTACAGGTAGTGCACCTGAGGGGATGATGGTGCATGAGATGAATGATTAACCTGGCTGTCACCTGTTGCTGTTCTGGGCTGCTGAGTTGGGGGCAGGCCATGGGGTCCCTAATCCTTTGTTTAATGCAGATGGATGACTTGATCTGTGGCTGGAACCATCCCTATTTGAGTTCTGGTCCAAACCCCACAACAGTTACTCAAGCAGCAGGTCAACCAGAGAGGGGGACTAAATCCAGATAAAAAGTGAAAAACCTAACAAATGAGTTAACTCCTGGTACGAGATTGCTTTCCCCCCTCTTTTTTCTTTGTCTTTTATTCATACGCTACCTAAATGATGTTCTCTATTTTTCAAACATATTTGGTTTTGTCTTCCAAACATCGTAATAATTTAGTAATTTCCCTCATTTGGTTTTCTTTCATTCTGAACCAGTCAGATACGAACAAAAGCCATCCTTGTCTCCTTTTGTTTCCGTGCATCAAATGAGGAAATTATTAACATTTATTGACAGCGTTCCCCCAGGCCATCAAATCCTACTTAAGCGGCTTAAAAACCAAAGCTCGCAGGAGGACTAAATTCACAAATCTGTCACATGCTTTCATGAATATTACAGTGAAGAGTGTACTTGACATATCAGGTGCAAAGGAAACTCATGTTAATTCTAATTTCTCTCTTTTTTTTTCTTTTTTTAAACAGCCCAACTCTTTTCGGTGTAAAATTTATACAACCAATTCCGCGTTTTCTCACAATTAATGAGCCTGCACTCATGCTGTGCGCTACAAAGAATGAAATTAAACACTGCCAGAAAATCTAATTATGTGTTTGGTTTTAAATTAAAAAGAGGATAATAGGGCCTTCCTACTGATCTAAAGTGGAGAGAAGAAGCTGGAGCATATTTAGCTGCTAATCTACCTTTCCCATAGCTGTTGTTCTGTTTATTCTTCTCAACTCTGGGATATCGATCATTAAAACCAAGCTGTAAATGCTCACAGTCATGGCGTGTGAGTTGGTCTGCGTTTGCATGGGAGAAGGAAGAATTTTTTTAAAAAAAAATTAAAATGGGGGTGGGAAGTTACAGCTATGTGTTTGTATGCGACAAAATGCTCAAGATACTTCTTGCATTGCATTTCATCACTGATCAACATCTGCCCTGTTCTCCTGCTCTATCCACAGGGGTCAGTGTGACAGCACTTTAGTTTCACCCTCAGCTTGACATGTGGGGGTGGGAGCTCTCAAGGTTGAGGCAGGCTGTGGTGTCCTTGCACTTTCTGCTGAGAGCCGGGGACCAAGCGATAGGCAAAGGTATTTTCATATTAAAAAAAGGATTTTGCTAACAAGGTCTTGACTGTAATGGTTCCTGGTCCTTCTCAAGGGAGCATGTCAAATAAAATGTATTGTCCATGTAAACACACACACACACACACACACACACACACACACACACAGCTTAACTGTTATCCTCTGTGAATACTATAGACAGGATCCAAACATGCTGTACAAATTTTAGAAAGCAAAATTTTAAGATTGTGAAAAGTTCAGAATAGAAGAGAATACGAAATGAACCAATAACATAAAAATAGATATGGCGCAATAGTTAAAGAAATTAAAGAGTGTGTCGCAAAGTTTTCTTTTTACCTTTAAAAAACAAACCCTAAACACCAACTTCAGAAGATCTGAGAGGTGCGGCAGGAATTTATGCCAAAGAAAATCAGACAATTCTATACTTACTATTAAAAAATTTGCAGTGACAGAGTTGTTACCATCCTCTTTGCTGCTTATTTACTCACTCACTCACTCTCTTGCACACAGTCACAGTCAACCTGGGCAGTGAATTGAGGCCTAAACAATAGTAGCCTAAGTTGATCTCTTGTGTCTCAGCAGCTGTACAAACAAACCCACCAAGACAGGTAGACAGTAATGCAGGAGTGTGGTCCCGTGCCTGACTGCTTGTGTGCTTCTTTTTCTGTCTCTTCTTCTGACTTTTTAGCCGCTGTGCCTCGAAATGCTGCTGGCTGTGTCTATTAGTGCGACTCAGCTCTTAATTTTAATCAGTTATTAAATTGTTTCCTTCAATTATATCAAAGAGAAAATGAGCTTAAAATTGCACACTGTTCACTGTCAATCAGAAGTCGGAGCAAAGTTCAGCGCATGCATGTAATGGTAAGTGGAGGGAGTAGAAGTTGGGCTATTGGCAATGAAGTGTGTGTGTGCGCATATCTGTGTGTGTGTGTGGGGCGGGAATAGGCCGAACGCATATTCTGACATATTTTTTATTCATGCACACAAAAAGCTCGAGCCTGAAGCGCAACAAGCACCTCGTCCTCAATGGAGTGTGAGAGTGAAACAAAGCACTGCTTTTGTATTACACAGTAAATCAAGTGGTATTATTTTACCACTAAAATATTCAGTCTCTCAGGCACTTTTACTTTGGTCTCCAGCCATCAGTCAAACTGCTGAGGCGTGAGTGAGAGAAGGCGATAGAGAGAGAGAGAGAAACGAAGAAGAGGGAGCAATGGAGACTCCATCCTCCTGTAACATGTGTCTACAGCAATCTTGTTAAAGAATGCAACAGATCTGCAGCTCCATAACAGTATTTGTCAGCAGGAGTTAATAATTTATTAGCAGTGCTGGGAGGGCTGCGCTCAGGCAGCTAAAGAGTACAGAGAAACCCTTCTACCCCACCCCCAACCCCTGACAAGCCCCATACAATACTACCTCATATTATTAAAAGGGAAAGGGAGAAGTGTGGCAATAATTCTCTGAAAATATCTGAGGGCAACCATACAGTATTTTATTCCGCATATTTGGAGAGGCGATCACAGAGGGCTGTGATCTAAAGGCGTGCACGTGCAATAGATCAGCGCAGAAACAACAAAGACATCTGATGAGGTGTAGAAGAGGGAGCAGAATTTAGCTGAATGAGGGTACCACCAAAGCACGTGGAATCTGATTATATTTTCAGTTCAAATAAGACTGTATGCATCCTTTGCCTCTTGTGCGTGAGCAAAACAGCCCTGTTTCACTTTATTATGACCAAAATGTGCTTTTACGAAACAATAAAAATGAGGTGAACTTGAAAAGCCTAACCCTAACCCGGCTGCGGGATAATCCAAATCATAACAACAAGTGTAAGATACGCAGCCATCTTTCTTAAAGACAAAAGCCCCAGTCACTTTGACAACTTAAGACAGAGATGAGGGAGGGTCAGATAGAAAAGATACCCAGTCTATATATAGCTGACAATATTGCGCACATTTGAAGGGTTAGGACTTAAGTTCTCCGGCCACTGGCTCATATGACCTGGAATGCTTTGAGTCATGAATTGTTCCCCAAGATAATGTTTCATCATCGTGCAAAACAACCTCTGTATAATTGGTAAGTATTAGAGGAGTGATGTGCATTGCTCATCTTGGTGGTCTTGTGACTGGCGAGCCATGTGTCCTCAGATATCCCATTTCCTCTTTCATCATAAAAGGGTCTGACTGACTTTCGCCCTCTGTCTCTACTCTGTCACACTGTTTACCTTTTATAGACAATGGCCTAAGTAACTCCACGCCATCACCCCCGATCACCCCACCCGGACACTCGTCTGTCTCACTGCTGATGTCTTGCACCCTCAAGTTTTGATCATGAGTCCCAGAGATGAGGAGGAGATTTGACTCTTCTTACGTGTGTTTTCAGTGGAACGAGGAGAGAAAAACTAAGAAATGATTAAAAAAGCGAAGGATATCTTAAACGGGATGGAACAGCAAACAATTACAGATAAAGAGGTTCCTTTGTGGTCTATCAGTGTGTACATTTGCCCAATATGTGCTCATTCAAATAGTTTTCTCACTTTCTAATATTCCAATAATGCAATTAAAAAAAGGCCTATGACTATTTCCCTCTAGCACACTGTTAGTATATTGCGCTCTATTAACTGTGCACTACACATTATGTACAGCTAATAATAAATCAAAACATAGGGATACAATATCTTAAATGAAGTTGGGTAGATAGTAGATAATAGTGTGGAAGCTTAGTGTGTGTGAACGTGTGCGTGGGAGCCGCGGAGGGCCAGTGAGAGAGAGAGAAAATCATCTGTGTATTTCCCTTCAGGGGTTCCTCCTGTTCTAACAGGTGTCATGGTAGGGTTCCTCTGGGTTCTTCACCTGCCATAATGAGATATTACTACCTGACAGCTCCCAGCTGGAGGAGCATTGACACGGATTCCACCGTTTAGCACAATTAAATTATCACCCTCCATTGTGATTGTGCCATGCTGTGCAGCAGCCAGGTTCCTGGATACATAATCAACTCATAATACGGGCTGTATACCGTGCACAGTGCGCTTGCTTTTCACACACTTGCCTTGCACATCGACATGCGGGCAAACCCCTGCATACACAGAATGTGCGTACACACGTTATTGTGCAATTCCTGCGGATTTTTTTATTTTTTTATTTTTTTAAAAAGTCAATCCCTAAAAGACAGCTGCTTTTTACAAGTCAGTTTGAATCAGTGACACATCTTTGTCTTACATCTCAGGCATCTGAGCAATTACAGGTAAGAGTGTTAAAATATAGCAAATGGTCGGGAAAATAGAGATTTTTCCCGACTAGGTAACCTACTGTACAGAGACTGGAGACTTGTCTAAATGAATTGTTTAAATTGTTCCTCCATTATTGTTGACCTTCCCCTGCAAAAAGTCAACTCAATTACGGCGCCACTTCATCCTCACTTCACTTTCTCTCCTAATGCCTTCTCTATTAGAAACTGCCACAGTTACCGCAGCTAAAAATCCACGCTCAAATGATAGCCACCCAGAGCAAATTAAGCAAGCCACCTGAAGTGCGCACTTTACATATTGAGCAGAGCATTGATAATTACTTTGCAGGGTAAATT